TAGCTTGAACTTAACATAATGCATGTGAAATGAACACTAGAAAAAGCAGATGTTGACACATCAGCCAATATATTACTCAATACATTCAACAAAGTTTGGAAGGAGGAACACGTTCCAGACACTTGGATATCTGGAGTCATCATTAAGCTGCCAAAAAAATGAGACCATTCTGAGTGTTTAGATTGGAGAGGCATTATGCTGCTCTCAATACCAGGAAAGGCCGTGTTATCTTGTAAAGGATGAAAACGGAATTAGAAAGAACACTAATATAGAGGAACAAGCTGGCTTCAGAAAAAACATATCATGTGCAGACCAAATCTTTACCTTAATTTAACAGTGCAATGAATGAAATACCCCACTTTATCTCAATTTCATCGATTTCAAAAGTGCATTTTACAGTATAACCCATGATGCCCTGTGGCTAATAGTAAGATGGTATGGTGTCCCTACAAAAGTTACAAACATCTTAAAAAGCATGTACAATGGTTGTCAATGTACAGTAAGACATGACGGAAGAAATTCAGAATGGTTCAATGTCTCTTAAGGTGTAAGGCAATGTTGCATTCTTTCACCTTTTCTCTTCCTGATTACTATTGATTGGGTCATGAGATAGACCATGGATACACAGAGACAGGGAATCCAATGGGGCTTCATGTAAAGACTTGACGATCTGGACTTTGCCGATGACCCATGGCACACACCCATAAACATATGCAGGACAAAACAACTAGGATAGAAGAGGTGGCTAGATGTGTTGGACTAGAAATAAACAAAAAGAAGACTAAAATCATAAAGATAAACGCCAAAAAAGATGATCAAATTATTACTGGAAATGACAGAATTGATGAAGTCCAGGATTTTTGTTACCTTGGAAGCAATGTGGCACAAAGTGGCAATATTGAAAGAGAAATACAAATCAGAATTGGAAAAGCTAGCACAGCATTTAACATGTTAAAGAATGTATGGAAGAAGAAAAAAATCACACTAAACACGAAAATGAAAATCTTACAAGACAAATGTAAGTACTGTTTTTCTGTATGGTGCAGAATCCTGGAAAATAGCACAAAAAAGTCTCTTCGCGCCTTCGATGCTTCGCAGGAAAATTACTGAGAAGAATCGCTCACATATTTTGGCCTAAATAATATCAAACAGAGAACTATGGAACAAGTTGAGCATCAATAACATTATCTTCGAAGTCAAACATAAAAGGTGGAACTGGATAGGTCACATTCTCAGAAACATTCTTTAAACGGGTTTTAAACTGGTAACCTGATGGAAAAAGAAGCAGAGGAAGATCGAAATCAACATGGAGGAGTACCGTATGGTACCGCAATGGCGGCTCTAGGGTATATTTTCTGGGGGGGGGGGGCGCTGAGCTGTCCGACAGGGGAGACTTGGGCTAGGCCCAAGCTAGGGGAAGGAGTTTAGAGGGTGTTTTCACTCCCAAATCAAATTTTTTTAAAGGAGAGGAACCTTTGGATGGCCAGAAATGACATTCTCATACTGTGACAGGCATGTGTTTGCTTGGCGTGGGGCTATGTTTTTAGTCCGACTGAGTTGGAGGATTTGTAGATGCCTTATGTGCACCAGTGCCCGAAGAGGGGTAAGTAATTAAGCAAGTAAGTATAAATGCTATAAGATGATTTTTTTTAAAATTTTGTCTTTAAAAGGCTTAAAGGATATTGGACAGTTAATGGATTTATGGATAGTTTTAAGGCGTTTATTGTCGTGAGAGATGAACCCCTAGAACCCACCTCCAGAGCAACGAAATCGACCTTGAACCCAGAACCGAAGATGTCCGAAATCCGCAAAGGTCCATATTTGTTAGTTTTAAACGTTCGGGCGTTATTACATTAATCGTTATCACAAAATTACGAATAAATTGCGAACTATGTTTTATGCGATTGATATAGTATTGTTTGAACGTTAAGTTATAAGGCCGATTCAAATAATGGAGAAATAAGTTGAGTGATGTTGCTTAAAATGGCCCCATTTACATCCTTGACGACAGCGGGTTTCCAGCGTAACCAAATCCCGCGAAAGCGGGTTACAGAGGCTAGGCATTTTCTGACTAAGATCGTGCAAAATTACGCCAATTTTTAGCATTTTAGAATAGAAAAATTCTGAAAATATACAACATGGTGTTTTCTTCGTTCCCAGCTTCAAACATAGATGTATTAATCACGGCTAGGGCGATTTTTACGGAATGGATTCGTGACTGGGTTTCCTCGTTTTGGAGTTATAGCATACCTACCAAGTCTCCCGCATTTGGCGGGAGACTCCCGCTTTTCGCCCTAACCTCCAGCTCTCCCGCCACTAGCCTAAAATCTCCAGCTTTTCTAATAAAATCAATATTTTTTATTAAAACCCACAATTTAATACAAAAATATCCAAAACGTGACAATTCTGTAGTTTTATAAGGCATATAAAATCTACGAAAGTTCTATCGCTTTGCGAAAATACATGCCGTTCCGATAGTAAACAATGTATTCGTCAAAGATCTTATAAACACAAGATAGCGTTCTCCGCGATTTACGCGTGCAAATTCTGTAATAAGGCATGAATGGCGCCCTCTTGCTAAATTGGAAACTTTTGACCCTTGACCGCTCTGACAATACCACCGTACACCAATCCTGTGAACAGCAGAACAGGAACCATCTCAGATCCATGGCAACAGATAGGACGCCCTCTTCCAAAACTGATTACTTTTTCTCTTTGGTATAATAGCGCATGAACGTCGCCCTCTTGCTAAATTGGAAACTTTTGAACCTTGACCGACGCTTCTATTTGTTACGCGTAAATCGCGGAGAACGCTATCTTGTGTTTATACATAGAGATATAATAAGAATACTAGAGCGCTAACAGCAATGTATTCGATGTTCGAAATACGCAGGGCTGTGTGTGTGTACCATCCAAGATGGCTGCCATAAATTCAGCCAATCAAATTTCGCCTGAGCACTATCATTTTCAATGGCGCCCTCAATTTACACAGAAAGTTCAATACAGCTAGTTACCCGTATTTTGAAACTCGAGCGTTGCGGTGTATGGGTTTAATGTACACGATTTTAATTCTTTTAAATATTTGAATAAGATGCTCTACTTGTACTTGGCCTCTTTTTGGCTGCGATAGTTTAATAATTTGTCATTATCAATACTAATTATCATTAATGAAATAATATTCAGTCAGAGGGCTTATTTATGGTAATAATATGTATACTAAGCCTGAAGGTGGCGCTTTCCGACGGCAGCCATCTTGGATGGTACACATACACAACTCTGCATTGCCCCGCCATCTTGTCAGCACTCTAGTTGTTTAATAGCTCTATGTGTTTATAAGATCTTTGGTATTCGTGTAAAATTAACACTGGTGGCGCTGTACACATTACGTCATTTCTATTTTAACTTTACGACCGCGATCATGCATATCAAAGATACTAGAAATACAAGATAGAGTTCTCCACACAAAAAAAGTGTTCCACCGTGTTCCACCGAAATGCATGGTGGGAATACGAAAAATGGGACACCCCCTACAGCTGGATATAAAAAAACTTGTGCCAAACTTTCGTTACCAAGTCGTCGCGTATTTTATTATCAATTCTCAACAAAGATACTAGATATAAAAACAAACTGGAATAGACACCCAGACAGTGACATCGGTGAATACATAACTTCCTTGGTGGCGGTAGAATTCGTTGCTATTATCCAAATAATACACAAAACAATTACAGCATAATCATGAATCCGTAAAGAATAAAACAACAATACAGCGCAGAATCGCATGGCCGGACGCACTCTTAGTCAAAAGGTTTTCCTCCATTAGTGGAAAAGGAAGGGCGCCTTCTGCGTCTGGATATACTTAGCAACAGAAGGGCGCCCTGTACGTTGGGCACGAAGTATAGGCAACTTGTATGATAAAAAAAAAGGGCGCCGCCTACGTTGGGCACGACTTCCGCCTCATTTTTACAATGCGAGAACTCTATCTTGTATTTCTAGTATCTTTGATGCATATCAATACTTTCAGCGAACCAGAATCCACGATGGTTTTACCGGCGAAAATAGGCTGCGCTTATCATCATCGATGCATCATCCAAATTCAAAATGTCGGACAGTGATGTTTCAAGCTATAGAATTTTATTTTTCAAAAAATGTTAGTATATATTACCCCATTTTTAAGATTTAATTTGAGCTCTAGAGATCTGCTCAGAGTGCACCAGAGAGCATCTAGGCCTAAAAATTTCCGGGGCCCTAGGCGGGCCCTCGACCCGCGCCTAAATTGTTTCCTTCCTGTGCAAATCTCCATCCACAGCCAAACTCAAACTTGGCATGTATGTTATAGACAGTTGTAAAATACAAAATCTGATGCAATGGAGCTGCACCATAGAAATTAAATACATTATCTTCGAAACAAATCTTTCTGTGCATAAATTCAACCAAAACATCATCTTTCTAGATGATGACGATAAAATCGACAAAAATGTATTTCTTAAGTAGTTTACTAATTGTTGCAAGAGTCATCAACCCGAAAAAGAGTAGTATTGGAAAGGCCTGGGCCTGGGCCACCCTTGAGAGGTTTTGCAGTTCACCGTAACTAGGGATAATATTTTTCTCTTGTATGCATCAACATTGTCACTTACAAACAGGCTTTGGTTAAAGTAAAATGCTGCATATTCTGTTTTCTGAATCTTTCTCTTTCATAATCTCATTGTATTTGCAATGGTCGACTGAATTCACAAACTGTGCCTCAGGCTACTCGTGTTCATCTCACAATTGCTGACAGAATGCAATATGTATTCGCTCAAACAAAAACACCTTAAGCCCTATGCAAAGATAAATTTAAGTCTTTGACCTATATTGCCTGTCGGTTTTATAAGTTATACTTCCACACAATCAAAATACTGTAAAGACAATTTAATTACCTGATTTTTATACCGAAAAAGGATAAAAATTAATAGAATAGCTACTTTCCAAAACAATGAATTTTAAGATGTGTAATTTCCTACCTGGAACCGTCAGCCCAATTCTAACATCGGCTATGTGAGGACGATCAGAGCAATGATTAGCATGTTTTACAAAAGCTTCCTTGGCCACTTCTATGTCATTCAAAACCACTATAGTTTTTCCTCCAAGTCGCACGCTATAAATATTACCGTATTCTCGAGTCCACTCTGTAAATTTCACATATGATTCTTTACCCAATCTAGGTATGGCGCCTACAATAGGAAAACCAAGTGGCCCAGGGGGCAGATTCCGCGGGGATCCAATAATTCGAATTATTAACAATAACAGGGAACCTACGAGGAGTATATTTTGTAGGCTCAGTTGAGCAAGCACGTTTTCTACGATAGGCAGAGTCATTGTGTTTGTCTTATATGTAACAGTGCTCATGCATATAAACCGCTGTAGTAGGCTGAGTAGTATATGGCCTAGTTGAACAATCACTCAAATCCATGTTTCATTTACGGTCGTAGCCAAATCAATTGCATCCTGCTGCAGACCGGCAGCGAGGCGAGGTCAGCCACGCTTTGCAAAAAGCAGCCAGACATTGCAAAATCGTTAATGCAAAAGAATAGCCTGGGCGATACCATTTTCGCGAAGGTAAATTGACTTTCGACATAAGCCTTGTACAAAAAAAAATATGATCGACCACTTTTATGGTTGCTGCCCTCTACAGTATTTCAACGTCAGGTTAAGTTATTGTAGGTGGTGGAAAACCCTGGGTAAACTAACCCAGTAGTCATGGTTGGGGCGAGTGGATACAGAAAGGTTCTGTATTCGGGGGTGCAGGGCGAAGGCCTTGATAAAGCAGACTAAATGTTGTGGCAGATAATGTCCTGGTTTATTTGTCTCCT